TCCGCCCCCAAGGTCAGCCACCTGGGCGCGGAGGGAGGAATCAAGCCTGTTGTACCAGACACCAGACCTTGAGAATATGCTGATCTGGAATGGCTCTGTGCCTCATTTGAACCATCAAATAGAATCCCTGCTCCTAGCTTGCGCCTTTTTCCCTATATAAGGACCCCTTTCCCTTGGCTCGGCGCGCTTAGCCACACAAAGGCTAAGTCGCTCCGGGTACCCGCGTCTCCAATAAAGCCTCTTGTTTTTTTGCATCCAGTTCGTGGCCTCGCTGATTCCTGGGTGTGTGAGTCTCCCTCTACGAAAGTGCCTCTTCGGGGTCTTTCACAGGTATTGGTGCAAATTTCTGAGAGAAAATGAACAAGTGAGGACAATGATTTTATTAAATTATTTTTCATGATTTGTTTCTAAAAAGGTTCAACATTCTTAACATATTTTTTCTTTTATACATGAACCCTTCACAGCTTATCTTATCAGATATTATACAGTAAGTTCATAGAAGTTTAAAAATTAAACATTACAATTTGAATCTCCATCACCACAGACACATCCAAGAACCAGATCTTCCTGCAGCTGAACTCTGTGACCACTGAGGACACAGCCACATATTACTGTGCAAGAGACACAGTGAAAGACTTAAGCATGAGCCCAGACAAAAAATAATCCCTCCCTGAAGAGGAGCTCTTGGCCAGCAGTTCACTGAACACTAACCAAGCCCAGGAACTCCAAGACTTTAGAGCTGGAAAGAAAAACACCTGGTTTCCAGTGACTTTGCTTTCACCCTCCTAAACACAGAGAAGACAGGGCGTTTTTCTCTCTCTGATTCTGAAATGCTGTGTTTCTCTTAAGTTACATTTGTTTGCCTCTAACTGTCTCCCAAGACAGAGTGCATAGTAATATTTGTTTTCATTTTTGTTGTGGTTGTAGCATTCAGCAGCTGAGCCATTCCTCTGGTCTTAGGAATATATTTAGAAAATATATGTCTCTTGAAAGTCAGTTGACCTTGGTATTGCAGTAGTTGATCCGTTAAAAAGTTAAATCTTCTCTCGATTCCCGAATCCCTCCATCCTCAGATATAACTTCATGCAGTAGCACTTCCTAGATCCTTGACAGAAAGTAGTTGCTCTCTGCCTAAGGAATGTGCCACAGACAGTATGGAATCCACACATAACTGCAGCTGTTAATACAGGATATAAGGTGAGGCAGGGATTTCCTGAGGAAAAGTGTTCATGGGTGAGGTACAAAGAGTGGGGTCATGATTGTTACTCCCAAGCAAATTTTGGATTTTCATACAAAATGCACCTTGGTGAGGATATGAATTTTGGCCATCCCAGTTATAAAAAACATCAGAAGCCTGGGCATTTCCAAAAAGCTCCTTCCTCATTTTCCTGGGTGGTTGACAGTTCAGAGAGTAAATAGAGACTCACACAGCTCGGGTCTGAAGAGCAGGAAGGTGGAGCCATGCCCTAAGGGAAACCTCCTTTTATTTCCTTGCTTCTCTTCCTGTCATTTGGATTCTACTTCAACTTCTTCACAAGAAGGACCTGGGCTTCCTGTGGATCAGTTCCCACCTCTCCGCTCTCAGTCTGGCTCTCAAATATCTCTCACTGTGGGAGTCTCTGCCCCTTAAGCTCCTGCATCGTCACAGTTCTGGCGTCCTCTCCTCTATTGCCAGGAGTCTTAGCAGGGGTCTCCTTGCGGATTCTTGGGAATTACCCCAGCGCCAGGTTTCTCCCTAAACGCATAGTGACTCTCTCTATTAAGAAACCTCTTTCCATTGCTCTTCCATGCATCCCTACCCAGCCCAACCAGCCTGCTCCCTCACGTTCTCACCCTCCTCCCTTCTCCCAAACCACCCCCCCCATCCACAGTTTTGCCAAAAGATCTCATCTAATTTACCTTCAGGAATATTTCCTGATCCCAACCTTGTTTGCCTGCTTCCGGAAATGAGAAATAATGCGGATCATGTTGTCCAGACACTGCTCTGTGAAAAGGAAGATGACCTCCTTACCTTTGTTCATAGACCACGGGAATCCTTAGTTCCATTCCCACTCTGCACTACTGAGTCTGAGGTATGGGTGTTATTAGAAAATCCTTACAGGTGAGGACAGTCTGTGGGATTTGGACGGAATTTTAGGGTGCCCATCCACTTCTTCATCATAGGAAATCCCATATCTGATTCCTTGATTTTATGAATGACTTTTAGGCTATGGGTTTCTGTGGTGGGGACAGTTCTCATCAATGGAGAAGCAGCTGTCCAGTGCAGGTTCTGAGGGACTTCAACGACTCTGCATTCTCTGCCACCTTGTGTGTGATTCTACGAAGGTTTGGAGGACATTTATTGCAGACATTCTGTCTCATGCTTGGTTTGTTCAAATTTTCCTATGTTCAGAGAAAATTAGAAAAAATATCACAGAATGCAATGTAAGGCTTGTTAACTGAAGGGTTGGTATGAGACCACTCAGCCTGCTGATTTTATTTTATTACGTGAGTTGGGCTCTGTGTTTCATGGTGTTTAGTTGGGTTAGGTTTCCCTTCCCATGACACTGTGGGAGAAGAGCACAAATCACAGGCCAGGTCATTCTGATCACATGACTTTCAATTTTCTTCTATCTTGGAGATTGATTCTGCTCTGTCACATTTAAAGATGTTAACCATGAGTGTGAACACTTGAGTATTTACTTCATATGGTGTTTTGAATCCTATCACCATTTGATTTATTTTCTCACACAGAAGAGTCCATCGCTGGGAGGCAGTAAGCATGGACAGCAGAGTTCTTATATACACTCAGTCTCACACATTTGACACCAGGAAATCCCCGGCTGTGCATTGCATGGTGGGTAATGCAGCCTAAGGGGTGTGGATCCCCTTATCACACTGTGTCATTTCCTAGGCATCTCAGCAACCACTATATTTTAGCAGGACAGGATGAGCTCTAACCTACAGATGTTATTTTGAGTAGAGTATGTGAACAATCAAAAGTGGAATCAGATTTCTCTGTGAAAACTAATTCCATGTGAGATCAGCTGTGTTCCAAAAAGTTGTTTTCATCAACACATATTCCTAAACACAGAGAGATGGCTCAGCCTCTAAAGACTTCATCCATATTCAAAGTGACAAGAAATATCACTGTACACCCTGTCTTGAGACTCACAATTGAGATACAAACAAATGTGACTTTATATAAACACAGCATTTCAGCATCAGAGAGAAAAGACCCCATGTCTTCTCTGTGCTTAGGGAGTGGGAAGCAAAGGCAGAGGAAACCAGGTGTTTTTCTTTCCTTGCTCTGAGTTCCTGGGCTTCCTTAGGGCTCATCTCCCCCTGCTGGCCCAGAGCTCATCTGCAGGGACGTTTTTGTCTGGGCTCATGCTGAAGTCCCCTCACTGTGTGACTCCTGCACAGTAATATGTGGCTGTGTCCTCAGTGGTCACAGAGTTCAGCTGCAGGAATAACTGGTTCTTGGCCGTGTCTCTGGTGGTGGAGATGCGGCTCTTGAGGGATGGGTTGTAGTTGGTGCGGCCAGTACTGCTTGTGTAACCTATCCACTCCAGCTTCTTCCCTGGGAACTGCCTGATCCAGTGCCAGCCAAAACTACTGGTGGTGATGGAGTAACCAGTGACAGAACAAGTGAGGGACAGCGACTGTGAGGGCTTCACCAGGCCAGGTCCTGACTCCTGAAGCTGCACCTTGGACAGGACACCTGCAGACAGGAAGAGTCAATTCTGTCAATCACATGTTGTCACATCCCCTCATGGACACATGGATGAAATGGTCACACTCACCAGGAAGGGCTGTCACCAGGTACAGAAGACCCAACAGTCTCATCTTCTAGGCTACACCCCCTTTTCTCAGAGGTCAGCCTCCTGTGAGAGAGATGTGAGCTCCCACAGCTCAGGAGGGGATTTAACTTAGATCTATAAGATGCATTTGCATGTGGGGAGTCAGCCTAGTCTTTATAAATGAGGAGGGTGGATACCACTCCATTTCCTTTTAACAATATGGCCATCATTGCCTCTGACTTCCGACACTGTGCGTTTGGGATAGGGAGCATGGGGACTACAGGGATCACAGGAAACACATCTTTTCATGACCCCACCTCCAAGCCCTAGCCCAAACCCTCACCAAATTCTTCTGCTCCTGTATTTTTTGCTTCTTCTCAACTGACTTATTTCTTAAAACTTTCTATATTTTTCTTTATAATTCATTGATTTTTTTCAAGACAGAGTTTCTCTTTGGCTTTGGAAGCTGTCTTGGAACCAACTCTTGGTCTGAAACTCACAGAGATTGATCTGCGTTGCCTGCCAAATGCAGGGATTAAAAACCAGGCACCACTAAAACCCATCTTTATCAATTTATATTTTAACATTCAATACCAGTTGCCCACCCTCCTCTCCACCTGTTCCCCCCACTTTCTCCTCACCTTCTATGTTCTCCTTGAACATGGTAAAGCCTCCCCTTGGAATTCTAAAAGTCAGTCCCATCATCTTCTTGAGTCAGGAAAACTGTACTCCCTCCCTACCACCATGAACCCCTGTGTCTTGGATGAACAACCTATCTCTCCATAAATAGTTGGCTCCACTAAGTCAGATTGTGCTATAGAGTTAGAACGTGGACCCATTGTCAATGGCCTCATATATTACCCCTTCCCACCATCATCACCTACATTAAGGGAGTCTAGTTCAGTCTTATGCAGGTTCCTCATTTCTCAGAACAGAGTGAGTTATCTCTCACTACCTCGGATCATCTGATTCTGTGGGGTTTCCCCATCGTGGTCTTGACTACTTTGTTCATGTAATCTCTCCCCCCTCACTTTGATTCTACTCCAGGGGCTTGACCCATTTTCCAGTTATGGATCTCTACATCTGCCTCCATCTGTTTCAAGAATTAAGTTCTAGCTTTTCTGGGGTTGTAGATTGTAGGCTGGGTATCTTTTACTTTATGCCTGGTATCCACTTATGAGTGACTAATACTATATTTGTGTTTCTAGGTATGGGTTACCTCATTCAGGCAGGTTTTTGCCAGTTCTGTCTAATTTCCTGCAAATTTTAGGATGCCATCATTTCTTAGCACTGAATTCTACTCCATTGTGTAAATGTAACACATTTTTAATCCATTCTTTGGTTGAGTGGCATCTAGGTTGTTTCCAATTTCTGGCTTTTAAGAATAATATTACTATGAAAATAGTTGCTGTTCCTGTGTTTTACTGTCTGAGGTCAGTACTAACCTTCTTTTCACAATTGGGTTCCTATGTACCTGGTTTTTTATTAGGAAGCCCACAAAGTTCAACTTTTCGTTCCTTTTGCACCATGAGATGGGTTTCCAATTTCCCAGAGTTAGAACGCTGTCATCTTGTTTTATCATGGGGTCCACAAGGAATTCTTGTTCCACCCAGACTCTGGAATGTAGAGCAAACACCTGCTGATAGAAGTGACTGCATCCCACACTCCTTCCTCCCTCCTCAACTCCCAAGTCCTCCACATCCGTATTCACCACAGTCTTGTCTTTTGAAAACAAATAGCCTTGTAGTAAATAAAATAAAATAAAATAAAATAAAGCGAGATCAAA